TCACCATGAGGACAACGCACAGGATGACAGCTTGCACAAAAGTCTACAGCTTCTGTTGACTTGCATGGTTAATAAGATGTTGCTTTTTTTTTGGTTGTCTATCATTTTCCTGTAGAGCTTGATTGCAAAAGTTTGCTTTTATGGAAAACCAAGGATTTATGGCTCCTTAACACAGTGAAAGATATAATATTCTGCGTGTACAGAGGTTTTGGTAAAAGTCAGCATAAAATGTGAAAAAGCACATTGTTGGTATCAGAGGAACTGGTTCTTATTTGTCAAGTTTATAAAGCAGCATTGTGAGGCTGTACTCTGACATAATGTTGCTCTAAGCTAACAATCGTAACAGTTGTAATGCTAGTTTGAATGCTTTACAGGTATGATGTTTACAGTGTAGCCGTCTAGTTGTAACAATGTAAACTGTGGGGCGGGAGAGAAGCTCAATTGCCAACTTTCATTTGCTCTCCAAAAAGGTCATTAGAGCATGCAACCTAGCATAAAACCTTCCAATACAAATACTTAATATGCATATAACTTAATTTTCCTCATCATGTTTTGCTATGTTTTTCTTTTTTAATTTAAAATGCAAGAACAAGGCAGATGGAACCATGGGAAATCAGAATATTTCATCAAAAATAAAATCAGTGTAGAACATTTACTTTAAAAACAACAACAACTACTGAGCACCATTTTAGCTACTTTTCTATTATTACCTACTCGGATCGACTCGGCATAGTTCGCCAGAGTTTTCAGGTTTCCCATTAGGTAATAGTACCTGGTATCACGTACTTTCTGGTACCTGCTGGACCGGGATCCCAAGTGATCCAAGCAGGTGTTAAAATGTGACATGGTCAGACTGCGTGCCACCGATTGGCTAGTCAGTAGCGTCACTCGATGACTCATGAGAGCGTCTCGTTCACAAAAATCAAAACCAACATTTTTGAAACTGGGCAACAAGAGAAATGGCTACAAATAATAAAACCGTGGTCCCTGAGTCTGACAAAAGAGCAGCACCAGATATATTCTCGACCACTGTTAAAGCCTTCATGTCGCATATTAATTACATTAATATCCGAGTCAATCCGTGGCGAGTCGGTCCAAGTAGGTACTAATGAAAAAGGGGGTTTTCAAGATGACGCTTGGCCCTATTACCTATTCTGACTTATAACATAAAAAGTGGCCGCGCAAGAGTTTTAACTCTTAATTGTTTATTAAATATTAGAAAAAAAAATATTTAGACTGTTGGTGCCACTCCGTGCCCTTCCTCTGGACACACCCATGCGTAGGTGGCAATAACAGATATAATGCGTCTGTTTACTTGGTGTACTTAACAAAGACATCAATTTGTTTTAATTTTAAAGTTCAAACTAAACAAACTTCTCTTTAGGAGCCTCTCAAGTGATCTACATGCGTCACATATGGTGATGTTTCATTGTACAGATAGACCTGAAACTCAGGTATGCTGTTGCTCATCACGCCAGTGGTGCATAGCTATGAATCATCCATATTTCCCATATATGTGACTGTTAGAACTTGTTGAGATTTTATCTCAAAGGGCCCTTCCTGTCGACAGTTCTCCACACATTCAGGTGTCAAAATATGAATATTGATTGTTGATAAAGTTTGGTAAATATACACATTCCAAACATCACTCACCTGACAGCCACTTCCTTGTTGAAGGATATGGGATTCCTATTATGCTTCAGTGAAACTTCACGAGTTGCTGTTGTCGACTGATATATGACAATGTGTGCAGCTACAGTGGGGCAAAAAAGTATTTAGTCAGCCACCGATTGTGCAAGTTCCCCCACCTAAAATGATGACAGAGGTCAGTAATTTGCACCAGAGGTACACTTCAACTGTGAGAGACAGAATGTGAAAAAAAAAATCCATGAATCCACATGGTAGGATTTGTAAAGAATTTATTCGTAAATCAGGGTGGAAAATAAGTATTTGGTCAATAACAAAAATACAACTCAATACTTTGTAACATAACCTTTGTTGGCAATAACAGAGGTCAAACGTTTACTATAGGTCTTTACCAGGTTTGCACACACAGTAGCTGGTATTTTGGCCCATTCCTCCATGCAGATCTTCTCGAGAGCAGTGATGTTTTGGGGCTGTCGCCGAGCAACACGGACTTTCAACTCCCGCCACAGATTTTCTATGGGGTTGAGGTCTGGAGACTGGCTAGGCCACTCCAGGACTTTCAAATGCTTCTTACGGAGCCACTCCTTTGTTGCCCGGGCGGTGTGTTTTGGATCATTGTCATGTTGGAAGACCCAGCCTCGTTTCATCTTCAAAGTTCTCACTGATGGAAGGAGGTTTTGGCTCAAAATCTCACGATACATGGCCCCATTCATTCTGTCCTTAACACGGATCAGTCGTCCTGTCCCCTTGGCAGAAAAACAGCCCCATAGCATGATGTTTCCACCCCCATGCTTCACAGTAGGTATGGTGTTCTTGGGATGCAACTCAGTATTCTTCTTCCTCCAAACACGACGAGTTGAGTTTATACCAAAAAGTTCTACTTTGGTTTCATCTGACCACATGACATTCTCCCAATCCTCTGCTGTATCATCCATGTGCTCTCTGGCAAACTTCAGACGGGCCTGGACATGCACTGGCTTCAGCAGCGGAACACGTCTGGCACTGCGGGATTTGATTCCCTGCCGTTGTAGTGTGTTACTGATGGTGACCTTTGTTACTTTGGTCCCAGCTCTCTGCAGGTCATTCACCAGGTCCCCCCGTGTGGTTCTGGGATCTTTGCTCACCGTTCTCATGATCATTTTGACCCCACGGGATGAGATCTTGCGTGGAGCCCCAGATCGAGGGAGATTATCAGTGGTCTTGTATGTCTTCCATTTTCTGATGATTGCTCCCACAGTTGATTTTTTCACACCAAGCTGCTTGCCTATTGTAGATTCACTCTTCCCAGTCTGGTGCAGGTCTACAATACTTTTCCTGGTGTCCTTCGAAAGCTCTTTGGTCTTGGCCATGGCGGAGTTTGGAGTCTGACTGTTTGAGGCTGTGGACAGGTGTCTTTTATACAGATGATGAGTTCAAACAGGTGCCATTCATACAGGTAACGAGTGGGGGACAGAAAAGCTTCTTACAGAAGACGTTACAGGTCTGTGAGAGCCAGAGATTTTCCTTGTTTGAGGTGACCAAATACTTATTTTCCACCCTGATTTACGAATAAATTCTTTACAAATCCTACCATGTGGATTCATGGATTTTTTTTCACATTCTGTCTCTCACAGTTGAAGTGTACCTCTGGTGCAAATTACTGACCTCTGTCATCATTTTAGGTGGGGGAACTTGCACAATCGGTGGCTGACTAAATACTTTTTTGCCCCACTGTATATTTCAAATCTAACTATACAGTGCTTACAAAAATGTCTCATAAAGACGCTCTATCCGTTTGGGTACAATTATTCAAGTAGCCTACAATTTTGAAGCACTTTTCATGTAGGGCTGGCTGTAAAAATACTGAACATATTCATATTATGTAATAACTGATAACTGATTTATTGTTGAATAAAGCAAATATGCATGGCTTGGAGTGAAAAGGAAAACAAAAGAAAGTTGTTTGTGCATGCTGTGGATATTTGACATGGTTTCCATTGTTTGTGTGTAAGAGGACAGCTATAAAGAATTCCAGTAATTAACAGTGAATGGTTGTTAAGGCCTCACACACAGGCCTAGAGAGTGGAGCCTTTGTGACTTCCTGACAATCGCCAGTTGAAAAAAATATATATTTGCTTACTTGTTTCAAATTGTTAAGTTATTTTGTTGTTGTTTTTTATAGTTTGCTGTTTTTTGCCTGCAAGAGTAAAATTCTACTTTAAACATTCATGATAATCTAGCAAGAGCCATATAGAAATATGATATGTAATACTTTTATATATATACGATGGACATTTTTATTGGGGGGGGGGGGGGGGGGGGGTGTAGAATTGTGACCATTTGATGTCTTACTTTAGAACACAACACTTTTAGTTAAGTAAAATATTAACTTCAGAAGTTTCGTTTGGAACTGAGTCTGTTTTCACGCTGCAGTGTTCCCAGTGCTGTAGAATGATTAATACACCAGTGAGGTGCTCTTTCTCTCCCCCCCCCAAACACGCCATGTTGTCAAACAAGCTCTGCACAAACTGTACTTTGTAAATTGAAGAAAATATTTGCAAGACATGTGGGAGAATTGTCCACTACAGTTGCCAGTGTTAATGTTAAAGGCTTGTCACTCTCATGTGCCAGATGTACAACCCACCCACCACCACCCCCCCAGCCCCACCCCCACCCGCCACCACCCCCCCCTTCCAAACCCTGAGCACTGCTGAAGAATCAGAAGGAGTCCTAAGAGCCGCTGGTGGCTAAATGGTCTGCTTCACAGTCTCATTACCTAATCACCAGCATAGCCACAGCTAAGATGCAAATGATTAGAAGACGGCTGTCCTCTTTCATATAAGATCGCTGACATTTTCTCCTAAATCATGCTTAGTTTTCTGCGCTTTTTGTTGGTTTTTATGTTTTTTTTCACTAAATGGCTAATAGTTTTAAAACGGAGAAGTAGGAAATGCAAGGCCAGATGCTCTCCGCTTCATGCAGAATGACAGACAGGCCTGTTTTAGTTGCACTTAAAGCCAATTTTAGTGGAACTTGGCTTGACACTGTGAGCTGGTTTCTAACTGTTCTGACACACTGAAAATAAAGATTAAATATATTCCTGAATATTGCATTTCTATGACTGACATTGTGCTTTTTTTATGTGGATGCCTTTTTTTCATATTCTCTGCAAAAAATAATGCTTTTCCTGGGCTGAATCTAATCACTGTTTCACATTTGATTTCCAAAAAGTCAATGTCATTGATTCTGTTACCCCAATTTGCTGTTTGGATTATACGTGTTCATCTAAAGCAGTGCTGTTGTTATTTCTAAGAAGAAGAAAAAAAACCTTTATACTGATGCTCTCCCTGTGTGTTTGTATCTTATCCCTGCAGGTGCTTTTGATGATGAGGATATCATCCATGTGGAGGGGACAGTGGACCCAGTGAGGGACATGGAGATCATCCACGAGGAGCTGAGGCTGAAGGATGAGGAGATGATCAGCCCTATTATTGACAAGCTAGAGAAGACAGCCATTAGAGGCAGTGACAAGAAACTCAAACCAGAATATGTGAGTCAATGTCCCAGCAGGCCCTTTGCTCCCCCTCACAGCAAGGCACAAATAATAACCCACCCACACATGGCCAAGGAAAAAAAAAGTATGTTTTTTTAATCTCCCTCCAATAGGTCTCACCCCTCCCCCTGGCCCATTTTTCCCTTTCTGAGATTGAAAGTGATCAGGGGTCAGGGGTTTTCTGCTGTAGAAATCATTAATAGAGAGTTACTTATTCAGCTACTGACCCTGGGTCACAGCACTGGGCTAATGAAAGTGTTTCCACACAGCTCTTTTCATCTAAAGTAATACTCAAATCATGGCACAGCTCTGTCTCATGCTTATACACCTACAGCAGCTCGGGAAATTGTGTGAGGCCATATAGTGGGTGACACATATGCCTATACCTTGCTATCAATACAGTAAATGTTTAGAATATGCTTTGACAGAAGATTCTCAGTTCTCGGTGGTGCAGGGCAAAATGCAAGGCAAGATGAGAAAAGAATCCACATCTTGGATGCTAGATCAAAATATATATGGATGCTCGCACACACTCAGGTGGTTATATTGTTCCGGTAATGAGGCTGAGCAGCTAACTTTAGCAATGATTTGGTTGCAAATGTCACATGATGCCCTTCCATCACTGGAGCAGGTTAGGATGGGCCAGCAAGCAAGGGGGATCTGGCCTTTCACTTGGAGCAGCATGCCCAATTTCAGGCCCCAACACACCAAGGCTCTGACCACTCATTACACTAACGAGAGGGGCTATTTCACCTGCTGCAGAGGCCCCCGTGACTGGTTGGTTTCCCTCAGACGAAACCCCCCCACCCACCCACCCCCTTACAGCCAGCAGCACTTCCCCACACCCCTGTAGCCCCGCAGACAGGAGCCATTCAGGCTAGGCAGGTGGCCGCTTACGCACATAATTGCTAACAATTTTAGGCAATGAATAAAAATGATCTACATTACTTGTCAAAGGTTGTGCACGCGTCGGCAAGTGAGAATCTATAGAAGACCTCTTTAGATGGCAAAGAATGGTGCTTATCAAAGGCTGCACTAAGCTTTTAGATGGGAGGGATTGTGTGATTGTCTCACAGGCTGAGCCTAGCGTGTGACATGCTCAGCTGTGTGTAGGCACACGTACGCACGTCTAATTCAACATCTATATGCAGAACATCGAGACTATGTCTAAAAATGTACAGTTTAGTAGAAACAATGGTACTCGTTCTTTCTTTTGCAGTGCCACGAAATAATGTGAAATAAAAAGGATATTGTGTGCAGCCTTTTAAAAGGTGATTGCTTGAAAGACCTTTGAAATGGGATTTAATTTCCTTTGTCGCACTCATTTGTCTATAGACTCTACAGGTCTGCGTGTGGTGTGAAAATTCATGAATAAAAGCATATTTTATCCTGTTCCTAACAGATTTAAAGAATTCGTTTAATGGGATTGAAATGTGAGAGTGTCTTATTGTACTATTTAAGTCTGTGGTGGTTATCACAGTGGTAAATATGACATAATTCAGGATGATACACCCTGTTTCTTGTTAAAACATGGCCTAAAAATTCAAAAATCAGGGGAGGCTTTTTTGCACGAAAAGCAGCAGTGTATTTTAAATAAAATCCAGCATCTCAAAGCCCACAAGTTGCTGTGTTAGAAAACTGAAAATATTCTTAATTTGAAAAAAAGAAGAAGGTCAGCATTGAGTTCATGTGAATTTGCTTCTGTTTGCACTCATCAAGTGTTGGATTGAAAGGGCAAAGTGTTGTCTTGCAGAAAAATGCAGACCTTTGCCCTGTTACATAGAAACACAGTGCCAGCATAGTGTATTACTCTGAAAGAAAACTACTGTGCAAAGCAGCATATAATTATGCAGTATAAGATAACACCAAAAGGACAACACTGAATAATTGTAGTTTGTGACACAAATCAGCCTAACTTCCTGCTGAAACCGGATGTCGGCACAAGACTAAATCCTTAAAGACAAGACTGACATTATCAGATTAAAGGATTTGAGTTGTGAAGAAGTATGCAGTTTTATCGAAACTGTTAAAAAAAACACTGCTACACAGATGATGTTATACTATTTAGGAAAACTAAAGACATATATGGAAATTACTGTAAGGTTCAAATTCCTAAAAGTTCTAATATTTTGTTGTGCTAAATTTATGTGCACGCACCACTACAAGGCTCAAATTTATGCATTGTTAAAAAATGTAAACATGTTTGCTGGTGCTGTGTTTACAAGAACAATGTTTCATTGCTTTTGTCCAAGTGAATCCTCAAATCCCCTCTCCCTGCAAAACAATAATAAGAAACCGGCCCACCAGCGGCGCTTCATGGTGGCAAGCGTATGTGTTTGACCCCTGTGGGACCTATATGCCTTTTATTAACACCTGCCTGTTAGAGGAGCTCTGCACGGCGGCTGCGAGCTGATGAGGGAAACCTGGAGCGGGTTCAGCCTGTGTCACTGGCCGTTTGCTGTTTCCATTTCACAGATGATTAATCTCTCTGTGAAGACTTGGGCCGGCGCGGGCGGAGTGTATGCAGCTCTTCCTGCGCTCTCTCCCGCTGGCTGCACTCTGGCTGCCTGACTAAAAGGCCTTTAGAATTCCTGTGGAGAGAGATGTGCAGAAAGTGAATGCAGCTGGCTGGGGGTCAGTGTGTGGAGCTTTTTCTGCCATTGTGTAATTGAGGCTCTGGCAGGATTTTTTCCTCAGTTCTTTCAAAAGGGAGTATGATTGTGAAGTGCTGCAAGGGTTTGGGGAGGGAAAAGGAGGTAGGGGGAGTGTTGCAGGGGGTGGGGGAGTTTTTATATGAAGGGGGAGGTCAAGTTGACAGGAACAAAAAGAATGTGTTCCGCTAATTTCTGTGGGGCTGGATCAACAATAATAGGCTCAATTTCTTTATTACAAATTTTATAACTACCTCCCTCCCATTTTCCCACCCTTTTCCGCTTCCAGATCCTGTCAAGACCCAGTCTTGCCTGTGGTCTCAACCCACAAGTACCTCAGTAATGAATGTGGCATACATAGCTGGAAATGCTCAATATTTTCTCCAGAAGAAACACTGAATAATTAGCTCTGTACCTCACTAGTCCTTATTCAGTAGGACTACATTCTGCAAAGTGCCTGAGGAGGGACCAATAATTTACACCTTACTAACCAACTTCCAATTAGTTCCCCGCTCTTTCCAATTTCGTCTCCTCTCTCTATCCTTTTCATTAAACAGTCCCGATGGAATATTGATGTATAAAGCTGAGACTCTGAGAGAGACACCCCAGAAGGCATTTTGTCATGATTTAAAGGAGGGAAGGGGGTCTTGTGCATGCCATCCCTGTCAAAGATAGGCCACTCCTGCTTGAATGCGAGCAAAGGCCATTGTTCATTTTGGCATCAGGATGCCATGCATTTAGGAAATAATTACCCCATACCCTGCTGGGTTTATATTCTTTTTCATCTCCTTTAATGGCTCCTTGTTCATTCTATTTTAACCCCATACAGGACATTATGTGCAAAATCAAGAGCTGGGTAGTGGATGAAAAGAAACACATCCGCTACTATCACGACTGGAACGACAAGGAGGTAAGCCTTTGATGTTGCTGTCACATTTATTGGCGCGATTTATCATGCTAATCTTTTCATCTGACCTAAAAGTACAACTGCTGTTTCCTCTTCTTTTGTTTTTTGTGTTTTGTTTTTCAAGCAACATGTTTTTTGTGCAAATCGCAAGTTAATATTATGCACAGTTATATTTTGACATTGCTTTTGTACAAGCTAATGACATCTGGCCATGCTGATCTTGATTTAGAGGCTTCCTAGTTGCGCCCCACAGAGCCTATACACCAGACTCTAATTTGATTTGGCTTCGCTTGTCTCTGTGTTGTCCTCAAAGGCTACTTTGGAAAGTTGTGGATTCTCAGTACTTGCCTTGTCTGTCTTTTTCTACAGATCGAAGTGCTGAACAAATACTTGTTTTTGACATCCAAACCAATGATCTACCTCGTTAATCTCTCTGAGAAAGACTACATAAGAAGAAAGAACAAATGGTGAGTACTTCGAAGAAGGGCGGGAGCAGATTCATCGCTCTCACTAATCATCGCTAAAGAGCTTTCCTTCTACTTACGTAAGGAATAGCGTTCATTTTTACTTAGTTTAATCTAAACGTGTGCACATTTGCCGTTGTGTGAGACTTACTGTGGTCTCCTGCTGACAACAACAGTCATATCTCTGTGAGAGAATCTGCCTGGAGGTGGCACTAAGTAAGCTCTAACACAACACCCAGCCCCAGACTCTGCACTTCATTAAGCCCATACGAGCATATGGTCTCCATTTCCAGCAAAATTTCTCATTTCCATATGATATCAAAGAGAACGAAGGCTTTAAATGACAAAACAAAACAAGCATATGTACATTTTGAAGCCAAACAGCTGATTAAAATCATCTGGGCCAGTAAATCATAGGGGCAAGACTCCTTAAAGATTATCTGAAATTCTTTTTGCAAATATTTGGTTTTGTCTTCACATGTTGTTGCTCTTGCTTTACAAGCATCTCTTCACAGCCATGAAATTCCCACAGTTCAGAACGACAGCCGAGGCTTCCTAGATGTGTTTAACTGACTGTTTTCCATAATAATGCGCATGTACGGGGAATTGCATGACTCATGCTTTCAGGTACAACACTGGTCACGATGTCAAAGGGCTAAAGATGACCTTGAAGGCACTGATATAAACTTCCAGCTCTGTGATCCTTACAAGCACTTTTTTGTAGTAATGTTGTCATGTGGCCTCAGTGAGAGCTGATCCAGAAGGCTGGTGTTTGACATCCATTATGTCTGAAAGGGCTACTTTTCCCACACTGCAGCCATTTTGTCAATAATACCAACTTGTGGATTGTTATCACACTTTTCCAATTGCCCTCCAGGCTGGTGGTGTCACTTCTTAGAAAATTTGTTTTTGGCGCTTTACTTGGCAGCATTGTATTACAAGTGAAGTTGTTTACCTATGACTGTTTGTTAAAATGTTCCTGACACGAAAGTATGACTGTCAGACGGAGGGAGGAGGAAGAGAACTCATAAATCAAATGATTCATGGCAAGTGGAACATCCGTCATCAGTAGGAATAGAGGTTCCCCCCTCCCCCCCTTTTTTTCTCATGTTGTGTGTGTGTGCGTGCATGTTTCTAACTGTGTGAAATGCAATAAATCTCGGAGTGTTTTAAACAGTAGTGCTCAGGTGTCCCGAGGGCTCCGCGATGAACAATGCCGACATCAAAGTGTTGATGTTTGACAAGTGATGAGTCACTTCCCTTGTCCAGAGAGGAGCTCACACCTGTATGGAGATGATTACAGGTAGATCTAGCTGTCCCTAATTGTACAATAAATGCTGCTCTCAGCCCTAATGGCAGCTAGTCTGCTGCAGAGACGCCAGACTGCCATTTGGCTGTCGCCATGCTCCCGTGTTTTTCCACCAGCACAGTTGAGATGATGATACGGTTAAGGACTATTCAAAGCAAACAGCAAGACAAATTGCAATCCCAGGTTTAATGTGTTCAGGGAAAGAAGGCGAATCGTAGAATGAGGCAAATAAGCCAATTTTATCTGTGTCTCTCAGGACACCCATTCAGGCCTTTTCACAGGTTCACTTCCCTGCTTCTTTTTATTTTTTTAAGCTCTTTTATATTTAAGGTGTTTTGCTGAGATGCTGCCAAGCAAGATTGAGGTTCATGCTATTTAATCTCAGTTACACGATCCTGATATTTTTAATGTATGCATTATAATTTAGGGTTTTTTTTATTATTATAGCCATTTAATAGCATTTTCTCGAAATAGTTATGGCAATTGCATCATCGTTTGCAATAGTTTTATTTAGTATTGTAAGTCTCCAAAAACATTCTGTTGTTAACCGGGATCATCCTGTTTGGAGTATGGGAACCACATACCAAGCTGGCCTTGTTTAGACAAGAATACAGAGTATTAGCTTTAGAAAGCCATCATTAATGGAGGGATCAGACAAGGAGCAAGGCCTCCTTTCATCCCCAGGTTCTCTGCTGGAGACAGTACATCATTTACTGTTGAGAGGAGCACATGGCTCCAATCCTATACAGTGTATGTGTATGAGAATGCGTACATGTGCATGTTTGAAGTCTGTTTCAGAGGCGACTCCATGCTCATTTGGATGCTGGTGTAATTGCGGTGTGGAGATCAAAGGCGCGCTGGCCGAGTGATGTTCCAGAGGAGACTTTACCACACAGCCCTCTCCTCTGTGCAGAGGGGGCCGCCTGCTGCTCACCGCTCCCCTCTCCCCTCTAGCCATGCACTGCCCCCTGCACATCCCCGCTCGTAAAAAATGATTAAGGCTGCATTTGTCATGTGTTTATGACTGAGAGGCATTGCGTGATAGGGAATGGCATCTACAAGAGTCTATCAAGAGGCTTTCTCCTCTTTCCCCGGCGTCAGTGAGCTGCCTGGAAGACTATTCAACAGAGCGCAGTGTGTGTGTGTGTGCGTGTGTGTGTCTGTGAGAGCGCTGTTGATAATGTGGTGGCTGCAGTCTGCCCAATGCTGGCATCTTTACTCGTCATCTAAGACGTTGTGTATTTTACAAGCACGTGGCCTCGCCAATTTTAGGACTCTTTCTTTCTTTTAATAGATTTGATATCAGATATTTATTTAATCTTCTTCTTAATCTTCGAAGAGTTTTCATATTTTGTAATGACAGAAGACACAATTAGAGGACACTTCAGCTATACTGTGATGTTTTTTCCTCCCTTGTCATTTCTTTTTCTGCCTTTTTCTTCTCCTTCTTTTGGACAATGTGCATTAAAGTAAATTGGTGCCTCTTAAGTAGATGAGTTGACCTTTAAGGAAACCGGCAAGCGTGACCTGTCTGTGAGTGCCTCTGCCGTGTGGGCTCTCCTGGTGAGTGTAAGAACTGCAGGGTACCACTGCTTGCAGCTTTTATTAACTCTGTGCGTGTGTGTGTGTGTGTGTCTGCGTGCGTGTGTTTGCATGTGTGAGCATGTATGTTAGTCAGGGTCTGTTTGTCTGCCTGTATACAAGTGGGCATAGGTCTGAGGATGTGTACTTTTCTCTTTAATCTCCAAATACTTTTTTGTTGTTGTACTCTTCCAAACGTATTCGTACTTTATCTCTCTTAAGCATTGTTTGCCTCCAGTGCGTGTTACGTTTGGTACCTATCTCATTATTCTTTATGCCGGGAAGCGCCAACTTTAACATGCCACAGCTGCTCTTTCTGTCGGTCTCTACCTAATTGTGTTTTCCTACCACAAATGCATCCATATCTATAATCTACTTGCTAATGTTTTCTTGTCGTGATGTAATTCAGAAAATCTTCTGCAATCCTGATTCCCCTCGTTAGCCATTTCAGACAACGGTGATGCTTCAGAAGACCTGACCAGTCTGATTTCAGCACAAGGCCTTGTTTAACGCTGGTGTGTTCAAAGATAAGAAAGCAATATTTTCAGTATCTCTTATTTCACTAATTCCAAAGTAATAATAAGACCAAAACCAAGAAGACCAATCCTATTAATGTTTTTTATTTTCCAAGAGCAGTAAAAAGATATACATGGCCCACAATGTTGAAATGTGACATAAATTAAATACAATAAATAGAAACAGTGCGAAATTGTGGAAGCTGTCCTTATATAAAATTCTGTTTTCAGAAAATAAAAAATACCCCATGTATATATTTTAAATAGACTAAAAATGAACCCCAAAATACACCAAATTATAGTTATTTGACTAAAAAGTACAGCGCCTTTCTGTGGTGGAAAATTATATTAAAGCTTACATGTGGATATGTATTTGTTTCAAGGTGTATCTTTTTTTGAGTAGGAGCAAATTGGTTTTGGGCTGACAGAGCAGGAGGATGAAAGAATACTGAGAGAAAGAGTCGGTGCACCAGTTTAAATCTCAGCACTGGATTTGTTGACAATGAGAAGAATGTAGATTCGTCCCCGGCGTAACCTTTGAGGCAAATGCGGTGTAAACATGAGGTAATATCTCCAAGTAGGTTGAGGAAATCCAGCCACAGAGGTTGTTATTTCCCCAGAGTCTGATACTCCGGTCTGCCTGTAGGAGGAGCTTTCACAATTGAAGTAAAGGAAGCCCCGAGAGGAGCTGCAGCATTGTGCCGCTCTGTCTCACAGCAGACAACTCGAGGTGGAGAAGGGGGGTAAACTATGTCTGCTCAGCTTAAGGGTTGACTTGTATTTTGTTACCTCTGCTTTTTGGTCCTGAAGAATGTCAGTAACAACTTTATCATGCATTATTTTTTCGCTGTCTTATAATTTTGACAAACAAACACTCGTTTCAGGAACCACACCAACATTTAAAGACTGAAAAAAAAGTCAAACCCACAGACAAAGCCAGTCCATGAAAGAAATCACTGCTACCCACTTCAGCTACTCCAAACCATAATTCACACAAACACAAGTGAAACTTTATTGAGTGCAAAACCACTGGCTCCATCCAAGTTTTTTTTAGGAACTAGTATCTAGGGAGTTAGAGTTCACTTTTCAAAGCCATGTGGGAGATATACGATTGCATACTCCTGTTTGATTTGTCCACTCTGTCCTTGTTCAGTGTGGGATCCCGAGAAACACTTTCCCATGGTAGGATGCATACCCTACTATCCGCAGTCGGTCCTAATGGATGCCGTCAGCTAGCTTTCAATGAGTGAAAACAACAGGAGAGGAAGTACAGTAAAACTGAAACAGATGTAAAGTCCTGTCGACTCTGTTAGCCCAGTTATTGACTGTCCCCTGTCCAGGTAATGAAAGGGCACCGTTGTCGTGTACCACATGACCCCATTGTCTTTGATGTGTTTCGTGATGAATACCTTGTAGTAAAATTGAGACTAAAAGTTTTTCATTTTCTTTCTATATTCTTCAGTTTGGTCTCCAAAACCCAGTATAGATTTCTCCCTCATTCCTCAGCCCCAAATCTGATAAATGCTGAGTGAGTCTGCCCCCAACAGTTCATAATCCACTTATTCTGATTATGAACTTGGGGGGGGGGGGAATTGCTG